CATGTCACTACTGTCAAACGTTTCCTGTCGGCTGTCAAACGTTTGTTTTTTTTTATTGTTTAAACGAAGGCTTATTCGTGATCAAGGGATTTGGATGACGCTACGTTTTAGGGTTAACGAACGCTATTAATTGGAGGGTTATTACTTATTATTGTGTGTATGTGTGTGTATGTATGTTGTTTTGTTGATCGTTACATTTATTTTATAGAAGATGTGGTTTAAGTTATTTGTAAGAAGTATCATCATCATCTTCAACAGCCTATAAATGTCCAGTGACGAGCAAAGCCTCTTCTCACAGGTTTGAGCATAAATCACCACGCTTGCTCAATGCGGGTTGGCGATTTCAAACTTATAATTAGAAATTATAAGCCCAGGTTTCCTCACGATTTTTTTCCTTTACCGTCTGTCAGTGGTGTCTAAACAATCATAGAAAGTACCTACATATAACTTGGAAATGGTCGCATTATGAATCAGAATCATTTATTTGTTAAACATAGGTAGTTTACATAATAAGGTCGTACATATAAAGATAGTCCACTATGTTTTGCAGTGATAGACAAACAAATATAATCCTTACTAATATTATAAATCAGAAAGTGAGTTTGTTTGTTTGTTCCGCTTTAACGCCGTAAGTACTGAACCGATTGCTTTGAATTTTTGCAGTCCTAAAGTTAGAAGTCTGCATTAAGTAATAGGGCTTTTTATCCCGGAAAAAATTTGGTATTCTCGAGGGAAAACGAAATTATTGGTATAGATGGCGCTGTGTGTATTAGCATATGTCACATAAGCTTTTTATCTTTTTGTGATGCGTGCGAAGCCGCGGGTAAAAGCTAGTAGGTACATACATTTGAAACATTATTAAAATATTACAATTTGAGTTAAAATTTGTACAATAATAATAAAGCGAGCTATGGTAAGTAAATTTTAGTTTAGGGTTATCGATGAAAACGGCAGTACCTTAATCAACTAAGAAATTCATATTTTACAAGAACAAAAACAAATGAGTTTTAAAAAAAAGGTTTAAAAAGTTTTTTCTCAGCTCCCACTCAACTCCGCTACCAAGCAACCTGCCAAGCTCGGATGGTGATATTAATTGCATTTCCCCTTGTTTTTCACAAGTTTTTCAGTCTTTCAGTGAAAAACAACTTCATGATATTATTTATGTTTTAAAAAAATATTAGTTATCTACTTGAGTACCTTCGTCAGGTAGCGATAGATACTACCAATCTCAATACACATAAATGAGTTTTTTTTTTTAAGAGGGGAAAATCATCGAATGACTGCTCCCACCTGAGTGAGGCGGGAGGGAGTGTCAGACTCTTACTGACTAAAAACCACCCCGTTCCTTCTCCTGCACGTCGAGCCGGAGCCCCGGTTACCCGTTAGGTTCTCCGCGACACATACATAAATGAGTATAGGGATTCACATTTGTTTAAGTTAATTTATTAAAAAAAGAATGAACAGTAATGCCTGCTTCGTTGGCCGAGTGGTCGCAAGTGCGACTGCCGGGCAAGGGGTTTCGGGTTCGATTCCCGGGTCGGGCAAAGTACTTATTACGGGGTTTTTTGAAAAAATCTCAGTAGGAGCGTGGCGTCTGAAATTGTGCCAGGTATATGGCAATATGCTTACCCCGTATGACATGGGACTAATAACATAAAATATTGAAAAGTGGGTGTTACATTGTACAGTGGCATTAAGTGCCGTAATGTGCACCTCTGCCTACTCCTTCGGGGATAAAAAGGCGTGGTATAATGTTATGTTACTAACAACAAGAAAAAACAATAAAATTAACGGCAAGTAATATATGTTTTTTTATTATTATTTATAGATAGGTAGGTCTTAATAAAAATTATTAATCCGTTATTCAATAATTAACTAAATATGTCTTATGTTCCCACACAATAATAATATGCAAATACGAAACCATAAATAATATATTTTCAATATGTATAATCCCAAAAATAATCTACTTCTACAATAAACTACAAAGAATATTAAACTATAAATTAATAAAATACAATGAAAACTATACATTAATACAAATTAACTGTTGAAATGTATTGAATCTATACATTTCAAATTAAACCAATTCTACACTACATTACAATACAACACATATTACTATAAATAATAATTTGAATATTTTATACGAAATAACTATTTGTCTATTCAAAAACACGATTATGAAACACGTTTCTTACTTTTTTGTATAATTCTGAAACATGCTTAGCTTTTTTAATTTTTTATTTATTTACAGGGTTTTTTCTTAATTGAAAACATCACCCCGATTATTGAATACAAAAAAAACAAAAAGAACACTTATACTTAGACTTACATTTAAGTTAACCTACCCGCAACCTAGTACCCATAATAATAATATTAATAAGAATTCTGAAACATGCTTAGCTTGCGTTATATTTTATTACTAGCTACTAGCGCGTGGTTTCACCAGCACTACTCGGTGCGTATTGATCGCAGCGTGATGTTTTATAGCCTATAGCTTTCCTCGATAAATGAACTATTCAACACAAGAAGAATTTTTCAAATCGGACCAGTAGTTCCTGAGATTAGCGCGTTCAAACAAACAAACAAACTCTCCAGCTTTATAATTATAATAATAGTAAATGAGGTATAAGATTTTTTTCCACAGTAACAACATGAGCCATATATATATAAATTTTGTTTATTTTTTTATGAGATAAGCCGGTAAACGAGCATATGGATCACCTGATAGTAAGCAATCGGCATTGCCCATGGAGACCTGGAACGCCAGAGGCGTTACAAGTACGTTACCGGCCTTTTGCGATTTTTGAGGAATTTGAGGTTTGGGGGATTAGGAAACGAGGGGAGGGGTAATTAGGCCTCCGGTAACCTCACTCACGCGACGAAACACAACATAAGCGTTGTTTCACGTCGATCTTTTGTGAGGCTGTGGTATCACTTATCAATCAAGTTATATAATAATGTTTAAAGAAAACCTTAATTTTTATCTTTTAATTGCCTTAACTTTATGCTGTGTTTTCCTTGCTACGTACTATTGGTTTAGTAGAAACTAAATTAAATTAATTAAGTGAACTTGTGTCTTCCCTTTTGAAGAACAATTTGATTGAAACCTTGATTCTAGTATATCATATTAGAAAATTTAACTGGATTAGGAACTACAACACTACACCGCTATGGAGGAAACGCATCCCAAAAAGAACTTGGCGTAGCGTATACTCAATTCAATCTTTCTATCTTCATAATTATTTTACGGTCAATTTTCTAAATCTATATAACTCACGGAAGGTACACGGGTCCGTTTGTGTGCACGGTATAGATAACTAAATAGTTATTTAACCGTTTTATTAGCCGTTATTCAACACGTTATTGTATCGTTATTTTTAACGATATAGAGTAGCGGGTTGTTGGGTTTCGTTATGTGAATGGGTATCGGTTTCTTGTTTGATCTTTGTGGGGGTAACATTACGCTTTATTTTAATTAATAAGTCTGTTATGTTAATAGTGTCATTGTACCATCAGATGATGATAGAATTACGAACATAAATTGTTAATTAATATTTAAATCACTGCCTCGTTGGCCGAGTGGTTGCAAGTGCGACTGCCGTCAAGGGGGCAAAGGGTCTCGGGGTCGATTCCTAGGTCGGATAAAGTACTACAAGGTTTTTAAAAAATTCTCAGTGGTAGCACGGAGTTTTTAAAAAGCAAAAAAGCTAAAGCAAACGGAGTCTAGAATTGTGCCCGGTATATGGCAATAGGCTTTTCCACTATTACATGGGACTCATAACATAAATAGAAACAAATCATAACATAAAAGTCGGTGTTACATTGTACAGTGGCAATAAGTGCCCTAATGTGCACCTCTGCCTAACCCTTCGGGGATAAAAGGCGTGATGTTATGTATTTTAATCAATATTTTCGCCTTGTCAGTGTCAGACTCTTACTGACTAAAAACCACTCCATTGTTAATCCTGCACTTCAAGCCGGAGCTGCGGCAACCCGTTAGGCCTTCAGCAGCTCCGTATCGGGCATCAGCCCTATTGGTGGTCTGATAGTTCTATGACGTACGCACGGATATTTTAATCAATCTAGGAATCGAAATCGCACCAGAAAGTCCCGTTACCGGATTTATTTTGAAGACAATTGAACGTCTTGCTTTACGTGGTCTTCAAAGTACGAAAAATCTTGTAACCCATCCAAAAACTAACCTCGATAAATGTAACTTAACCTAAACTAACTTTATCTTAAAGCTCTTGAAAAGTAAATACCGTTTTGTAACATATACCTTATACTAGTATTATTAAAACTGAAATTGCTTTGTCATTGTTTGAAAAGCTCTTCATACGAGTAGATCGAGTGTGATATAAGTTGTGATATTAGTTTTGAAGTGGTATGACTGTTGCGTCTTAGGTTTGATTTTTGAGTCAATATTATTTAGGTGTTTCGTTTTCATTAAACTTTACCTACACAAAGTTTGGTTACAGCAAAAAGTTACTATTGAATTATGTATTTTGAAATTTTGGTTGCATACTTAAAGCTTTCTGAATAACCCAGATAACAAAATTGGTCATAATATCTTGCCTAGTTGGCCGAGTGGTCGCAAGTGCGACTGCCGGGCACGGAGTCTCAGATTCTATTGTTGGGTTGGGCAAAATATTACTGGGTTTTAAAAAATTCTCAGGAGTAGCACGGAGTCTGGAATTGTACCCGGTATATGGTAATAGTCTCACCCCCCATTACATGGGACACATAACATAAATAGTGAAAAGTGGGTGTTATATGGTACAGCGGTATAATGTGCACCTCTGCCTACCCCTTCGGGGATAAAAGGCGTGATATTATGTTATGTTTTTTTCTTCTGACGCAATTTTGTTAAGAATTGTCATAACTGTGTTTTATAAAGAAACTTTTGTATGTACCTACTTTAAAAACCTATCAAAACCATGCTACGCAGGAGTCGAACCTATTACAACCAAATAAACGTTCCTCTTTGTCCTCAGATTGGATACTCGGGAGGGCGTGACGTCACACTGGGCGGATGCCACTCTAGGGGTGAGGGCCACCTTCCGGAGTGACACCAGACCTGCTGTACTGGTCCTCACTAAATTAAGGTAAGAAAATTATGAAACTCAATTTAATGACTGCACGGTTGGAGCGGTGGCTGGGCAACTAACTACCGCGCAACGTATCGCGTGTTCGTTTCCTGCTCAGAGCAACTCTTTGTGTGATCCAAAATTACACACCGGAATATTATTGTTCCGGGTCTGGGTGTTATGTGCATGTGAACTTGTATGTTTATAAACGCACCCACGACACAGGAGCAAAATGCTAGTGTGGGGCAAATTTTTAAAAAAAAATCGGGTTTCGAATCCCGAGATTGTTATATGTTTGGCACGTGTGATTTCTTTCATTTAAAATCTAATGATCAATGGGAGATGACCAATAATACAATACTCTATGGTCATCATCGAAGCTAAGCCCCGCTTTGCAATTGACTTAGGAATCATAGTTAGGTCTCCAAAAACTATGATGATGCAACTGTCCATTTCGCGAAGGCTGGTACATATTGATACCTATATTTTTCTTATATATAATATTTGATAGGCCGACGTTTGACCACTATCTCTCCTGGTGGTATGCGATGATGCGGTCTACGATGGAGCACGTCGTCTCATAAGCAACCTATTCACTCGGGCCTTGAAGATATCTAATTACCATTCAGGAAATACAGACTCTGGCAAATAATTCCACTCCTTAGCACAAGGAAGCTTGATGCGAAGCGCTTTGTGCGTGTGGGTGGGATATCTACCATGAATCGGTAACCAAGCAAAAAGGCTTTTTTAGCATAAAAACATGATATATAATACTTATGACCTAACATACGAAAACTCTAAAATATTTAAAACCTAATCTACACTCACGGTGATCCCTCAACTACACACTAACTTTTAACTACAAAGATAAACTGAAACCCGAACATAACTCGGTGTGTACGGGGTTTTATGGCCTAAAACATGGTATTAATTAAGGCCAAACACAACTGCTAAGCTACACCTAATGACTTGTTGGGCCCACTGAATAGACTCCGTAATGCTTTACTATAATATTTCTAATTAAAAGATAAAAGATATGCCACGGTTTTTGGTTTAAGTGTTTTGTTTTTTGAATAGATGATTTATGGGTCTATGAGTAGTTTCTGAACCTTATGTTAATGTTGTAGTTACTAACCGGTTATTTTACGAGTTCAAGTAGCCTTCGGCTTTGGCATAGAGGGAAAAAGAGCATACCAGATCACCTGATGGTAAGTGATCAGCGCCGATCTTGGACATAACACCAAGGGAGTTGCAATAGGGTAGATGCCTAAATTTTATTTTTATGTCCGTCTGGTAGATTATTTTAAATCATTAGACACGTATTTTTATTTTCTTACAGAAACGAATACTTTCTACGGCATATTGATTTAAAATGTCGCGTGACGTCACGTCTATGTACATTTTATACGTAGAAATGACGTATTAGCCCCCACTGCTAAACTTTGATTAGGTTTATCTAAGTATTGTTTTGTTATACGACAAAATAAAAAAATACGTGTCTAATATTTTTTTCATTACCTAACTTACGGACTAATTACATTTTTTATGTTCATACCCTGTCATCTTCCCAATTCTGCAAAGCCATGCATGGATGATATCATCAATCTAGCCAAGCTAAGGGGTCGCGGAGAACCTAACGGGTAACCGGGGCTCCGGCTCGACGTGCAGGAGAAGGAACGGGGTGGTTTTTAGTCAGTAAGAGTCTGACACTCCCTTCCGCCTCACCCAGGCGGGAGCAGTCATTCGATGACTTTCCCACCTTAAAAAAAAAAAAGGATTCGTGCTAGACTGTGGCTCGCCCATGTTTGAGTTAATCGTAATCCAGTGACGCAACCTGCTAAGGGTCGCAGAGAGTCGTTGGATTCTGGTCCCTTCCAGGTAGCTGACCTGCAGCTGTAACCAAATTCCATTTAGCGCTTGTCTACTTGTAGAGTAGAAAACTAAATTATATGGAATTGATGTAAATTTTGATACTTGTCAGTGTCATCCCCATACATTTAATTTTCTACTCTCTCTGTAGACAAGCGCTTAAGTGGCGTTTGGCTAAAGGCACTGGATGGCATTAGGAGACGCTTACGTTCAGTAGTAGACTTTTCTGGCTGATATGATGGTGATGATGATGTCAAACTCTATATAGGTACCTCTGAAACATATAATTAATTAAAAACAATACTCGATCTAAAAATCGCTGGTTACTCACGTGAATATACTGAGAAAAGCTCTACTAGTTTCGAACCACAGAGGGATTCTTCCTCATGAGCAGCGTGCGCGGTCGTGGCGATGTCGCACGGTGGTGTCCAGCAAAGGGCGCGTTGGGCTAGATGCGCAAGTAGTGTAAGTAGTTGGGGTGCGGTGCCAGAAGACCTCCCCGTGGTGCACCCTGGGTACGGGTGATAGTCTCCCTAACGGGGGTGATAGGGTTGGAGTGACTATTGTCCGTAGCAGACTTCTGGACAGGGCGGGCGAACCCGGTATGGGTTCTGGAGGCGACGGGTTTTGTCCCTGCGCTTCCGAGGGGTCGCTCCTCCACCCGTCTCTCTGAATTCAGCAGAGAACGTGGCGGAGAGGCAAAGGCAGAGCTCGTTGAGCACTCACCCTGCCAACGAGCAGCATCGGGACACACGTTGTTCCCGATTGCATCTGTCGATATCGTAATCCGTGAAGAGATCGTGTCTTATGACTCCGAACGGGACGAGGGTCTTGGCTTGGTCGCCTGGACCGCGAGGAAGATAACCTCTATAAAAAATTCCTCCAATACCAAGTTCTGGTGCGCGGCGAGGGTATGCATGGCTGAGGAGTAGTGTCAGTCGTGAGCGCACCCCCAGCTAGGGTACCGGTGGACCCTCTAGTTGGGAAACAAATATACACTTACCCAGGTACAGGGGGCACTGCCTGGGCGGACCGTTTATTTCCCCCATACTCGTGGGACTTTTATGGAAAGTACTAAAGAAATTATTAAACCACCAATTGAAGAGGAGGAGAGGGCAGGCGAGCTCAGCTTGCCCGCACAAAAACAAATGCAAGTAGAAAGCGGCGAAAAACGGCCGCGTAGGACGTCTTCTGTTAAGAAACGTCCTGCATGTCAGTCTTCAGATGAAGAGAACATGCCGGCTCCCAAGTTACCGACTTCGAGGAGGGGGCGGCAGGTATCGAGAGGGGCGAGGAATTCACAGCCGCAAAGGGATAAGCACGGACGACTCGTACGTTCCAATACCTCGGCAGCTAGTGAAGTAGAAAGTGACATGGGGGTCACTACGGACGACCCTGGCGAGGTCGGTGAAAGTGGTGCTTCGCTGGGGAGCTCAAAGGCGGAGCTCAACGCCGCCAAAAGAGAGCAACGCAAAGCCGTCGCGGTTGACGAAGTGTCGGAAATGTCCCGACGCGCTCGCGAGCGACGAGCAGCTCTGGCGGCGGAAGGAGGAGAGCCAACTGCGGTGGCCTTGAGCCAGCTGGCTCTGGATGGGGTGGACCTAGTCCTAAAGGTTGCCACCAAGTCCTGCAGCCTGAAGGGCACGTTCATACGAGGTTTAAAAGAGGCTGCCACGGATATCAGGGAAGCGATTGGCACCCTCCTCAACAGAACGGCCTCTGACGAGGTCGCGAAGTTACAGGAGGAAAATAGCCGCCTCCGAAATGACATCGAAGACCTTCGGCGACAAGTAGCTGCGCTAAGCGAGCAACAGCAGCAATGCGCACCCACTGTTGCCGCACCTATAGTGGCCCCAACTCCCGTATCGCAACCGGCAATCCCTCGCACTGATGAAGAGGTCGAGCGCATTGTCCGGCTCTGCATGCTCCAGTGTGGGAGCATGGTAAACGCTCGGCTGGAAGCTATTTCCCGGCGTCTTCCAGCGGAAACCCTCCGTCCGCCTCTAGCGGCTGACACGCGGAGGAATGAGGAGCGGCCGACAATTGGGCCTCAAAAGGGGAAGTCCACGGAGGGAGCTCCTCCAAGCGACCAGCCCACTTCTGCCGGGTCCAAGAGTGAGACTTGGGCAAAAGTCGTAGGGCGCAAGAAGGCCCGCAAAGCTGCCAAGAAGGCTGCAGCAGCTGCATGCCCTCCCGGTGGAAGCCCAAAGGCGATCACGCAGCCTGCGCGGCGGACCGACAAAGGCGGTCGCAAAGGACCGACTTTACGTGCCCCGCGTTCCGAGGCTGTCACTCTCACGCTACAGCCTGGGGCTATAGAGCGTGGCGTAACGTACCAGTCGGTCATTGCCGAGGCCAAGGCCAAGATCAAATTAACAGATCTTGGTCTCCAGTCCGCCACCCTCAGGCAGGCTGCCACGGGTGCACGACTGTTCGAGGTGGCTGGTGCTACTACCGGCAGTGCTGAAAAGGCAGACGCTCTGGCCGCCAAGATGAGGGAGGTCCTTAACTCGGAGGACGTTCGGGTCTCCAGACCTATGAAAACCGCAGAGGTGCGGATTGCTGGCCTGGACGACTCCGTAACCTCTGAGGAGGTGGTGGCGGCCGCTGCCCGAAGCGGCGAATGCCCGCCGGACATGGTGCGAGCTGGTGATATACGCGCCGACGCCTCCGGACTCGGCGTAGTCTGGGTTCGGTGCCCTATAGCCTCGGCGAAGAAGCTTGCCGATAGCGGCAGATTGTTGGTTGGCTGGGTTGCAGCGAGGGTCAAACTCCTGCAGCCTCGGGCGTTGCGGTGCTTCCGGTGTTTGGAGAAGGGGCACGTCCGGGCAAAATGTACCGCCGAGATTGACCGAAGTGACCTTTGTTATCGCTGCGGTCAGACCGGCCACAAGGCGGCCCAGTGCACCGCGGCGCCCAACTGCAGCTTGTGCTCGGCTGCGGGCAAACCAGCGGGACACATAGTAGGTGGAGAGGCCTGTGGTGCGCCTGCCAAAAGGCCAAAAAGAAAAAGAAGAGGGGCTCTAAACCTGCTGGGGAAACCTCGCCACCCTCGCAGGCTAGTAGCTCTGCGGCCGACACCCGGCCCATGACCGTTGCCGAGGGAATGGAGTGTCAATAATGGCACAACTCCATTTCCTCCAGGGCAA